ATGGTTTAGGGAAGAGGAGTTAGGGACGTGTTTGTGCTATAGGGAATGATATCATTTCCTGAAGGGGAGGTACATAACTAACAGAAAAGGCTTAACCTGAGTCTGTAAGCTGAAGAAAGCTGCTAGGTAGTGCTTACCTGTGCTGCATACCTGTGAAAGTAATAAACTGTGGAGTTGCACACACACTTTGTATCATCCGTCCACTCATTAGCAGCAGTGCCCGCAAAGAACCGAGGTCAGGGAAAGGCAGAAGTTCACACTTGTGGACCCAGGGTGGCCCGTCCAGGCAGCCTGCTCTTCATGTCACTCCAGAGTTGGGCCTACCCAGAGTAGAAGTAGAATATAGGTAGCACCGGCTTCCCTTTCTGTGCAGATAGACAACACCCTAAGCAGGTAGACCTGGCAAAGATACTGCCAATAACCTAGATTCAAGTGCAACAGAACCCGCTTCTGGCCCAGCTCTGACCAATCCCACTGTTCTTCCTTTCCCCAGCTCATTTCAAGCTGGAATCGATCTGCTGTTCTTCAGGCCTGCCCCAGTCTTGGCTCAACATGACTTTGATGTGCAGAATTCATGTCTTCTTTCCCAAAGTCTTCTGCACATCTTGGTACAACACAGAGTGTCTGACACCTGGGCCTGTGGAGACCTCAGAGGGTCCCACCCAGGGATCCCAGAGCCCCGTGGGGAGGCTGCTGCTCTCTTCCTGTGACAGCAAGCTCCCTGGGAAAGTTCTCCCCAAAGCAGGGTGTGGAGGAGGAGCTCAAGTGCAAGACAGCTGGGAGGATGCCACCTGTGGAGAGGAAGTGGGTCCTGTAGAAGCTGGATGAGTCCTCTCCAGCAGACGGGCCAGAGATGCACGTTAGTGGGTCTCAGCTGGGCCTCACGGTGAGACTGGCAACTGGCTGGAGATGCCAAATCCACAGGCATTAGGCCTGGGCAGGTTCCAGTATGGCTAGTGGGCTAGTTTTTCCAGACTAGCACTGTTTCACTACAAAAAGAGGGTGGCCTGGCCTCCCTCCTCTGTTGAGCTAAGGACTGAGGCCCAGGACACATGTCATACCACTGATGTGAGTTGGGGACAGGTGGGTGGCAGATGTGCCCCATCAGGCTTCATTGCCACCTGATTGGCTGGAAGAATAGCCTGGAAGGCAAGGACCCCCAACCTACAACAAGGGGGAAAGTGGAGGACTCACCATGCATATGGGCCAGTGAAGTCCCTCCGACTCCGTGGGTGTTCTGGACACAATCTAGGGTTAGGCTGTCACTTAACACAGCTGAGCCTGCTGCCAGTCTCCAGGGAGGCCCAGGGGCGTCCCAAGTTACACTTTCCCTCTTGTTCTCAGTCTGGAGACAACTCTCTCCCTGTGGTGGATTTGACACTCGGCAAGGGGAAGCCCCACTGAAAGCTGGAGCTCAGGCCACTGGGACCGTGTGGCAGGGAGGAAAGGGCAGGGCTTTGGCATCAGACAGACTCAGGTCCAAAGTTTGGACCTGCCACCTACTAGCTGTGAGATCTTAACAAATTGCTATAGACTAAATGTTTGTGTCCCCCTAAAATCCACATGTTAAATTCTGATGCCCAACGTGATGGTATTTGAAGGTGGGGCCTTTGGGAGGTGATTAGTTCATGAGGGTAGATCCTCATAAATGGGATAAATGCCCTTATAAAAGAGGCACCAGAAAGATCCTTCTCACCTTCTGCCACATGAGGCGAGGTGAGAAGACTGTTATCTAAGAAGCAGACCTTCACCAGACACTGAATCTTCTGGCACCTTGATCTTGGACTTGCTGGCCTCCAGACTGTGCGAAATAAATTTCTGTTGTTTATAAGCCACCCAGTCTATGGTGTTTTGTTATGGAAGCCTGAATGGACTAAGACACCTCCACTTCTGATCCTGTTTCCTCATCTACAAACGCGGAGGAGTAGTACTCTTACAGTACTACTGGGCCACAGTAACACATGGTACTTCCCTTCCCCTTTTCAGGGGCCTTGGAGGAGAGCCAGCCTCTGCAGACAGGATGTGTGCTAGCTCGGACTGCTTCCTCTGCTCTCACCTGATCACTAATGAATGCAGTCCTGGAGGCAGAAAGGCAGAAACAAAATTCTCACAGAAGTTCCTGCTGGGGTGAACGGAGCTCAGGGGAGCTTCCTTGTCCAGCTTAGGCCAGTGCCTTAAAGAAAGGGTGTCCCCAGATGGAGGTAGCATCATCAGTGGGCAAGAACACCTGCGGTGGGGGCAAGGAGGGCTTTCCCCCTCTATGCTGCCCCTCAATACCTGGAGCTTTCCAGCTCCTCCCTGAGCTAAGCCTTAAGGCTGGGGGGCTCCCTTAGAGCTGGTGGAGAGCCTAGGACCGGTGGCCCTGATTTTCTGGGATCAAGTAGGTATTCTTGTGGCCAGCAGGTGGCGCTGAGCCCTCAGTTCTGCCAGCTTCAGCTTCACTGTCACCAGCACTTTAAAGTCCATGAAAGGGTGGAGGAAGGTTACTCTGGATGGTGCGGGCAGGAGCTCCTCATTAGTGAATCTGGGCCCTCACCTTGGCCTCTAGGACAGCCAAGCTGAGTCACAAGAGCCAGGCCCCTAGAACACTGGGCTGACCCCTTCACCCTCAACCAGAAATGAGTCAGCTCTGCAAGGAAGGGAACCAACACTGGGGGACTGGGTAGGTTCAGGGAGAGGGCAGCTTTCAGACCAGCAGTGGTCACTTCCTGGCCCCTTAGGCAGTGCCTGTGGAACAGCCTGGGACAGACCCTCACTGATCCAGCTAAAGCCCTGTCTGTAGGCCTCACACTGTAGCATACCCCCAGCTTGTCCTGTACACCACCCATCCATCATTCATTCATTTGTTCATTCATTCAGTACCTCCTCAGTGTCAGGCACAATGCTGAGTCAGATACAGTCCCTGACCTCAAGAAGCCATGGACTTGGGGATGGGGAGACAGACCCATAAACACAGACAAAAGGAGAATGCCCACAGTGCAGGGGAGGGAAGGGACCATCCTTTTCCAGAGAAATCAGGGAGGGCTTCAAGGAGGCATCATTTGGCCTGCAGTTTTATGGATTTCGACAGAGATGAGGCCTGGGAAGTCCAGGCAAGGCAAAGGCTTGGAGATAGGAAGCTCCATGTTACGTGCAAGGAGGGGACTGGATAGGAGGCAGCTGGGGAAGCAGGTGGGTGAGCGTGGAGTCCTGGCGAGAGAACAGTGGGCTGAAAGGCTGGAAAGGCAGCCTCAGCCTGAAATGGCGAGCTACGACGTCTGGCGTCCATCAGGAGGTGGTGGGGAACTACGGAAGGTGTTCCACGTGGGAGGGAAGGACCAGCCCTTCTAAGACCAGCCCGGAGGCTGCGTGGCAGATGAGCCTGTGGGGCGGGATGGGGGGCGACCTGCAGACAAGGAGACCAGGTATCAGATGCTGCCACGGGCCCTGTAGTCATGGTCTGAGCCAGGAGAGGGCGCTGTGTAGAAGGCAGGACCAGGCAGAGAAACGCATCCCCGAGGGGAAATAAAAAAGCATCTTCTCTCTGAAGGTTTGGTCAGTTTTCTCATCATGTGGCTGATTCAGCAGCAATCACAATAGTTGACATTTATTGAGCACTTGTAGACCAGGCACTTAAGCATTGTACATATGTTTTCACTTACTCCCACAACAATTCTATGAGGTAGGTACTATTAGTATCTTCATTTTATAGATGAGACTCAGAGGGTTAAGTTACTTGACCAAAGTCATATAGCTAGAGCCAGGATTCGAACCCAGGCAGTTGGCTCGAGAGCTCATGCTCCAATCACTACACTAATGCCTACAGCATCCCCGCCCCCTCCCCAGCACCCCAGCCTTCCAGCAGATCCCTGGGAGTGGAGGCAGACCTGGGGCTACAAAGGCTGGTAGGTGCCCAGAGGTTGAGATGCTGGGCCACCTGAGGCAGGAGGGGAATGTCCCCCTGAGCTGGGGGAAGAGGAGCCAGCAGCAGGTCCCTTCCCTGGCCTCCCTGCTAGGGTCCATAGTACCTCCTGAACGTGGGGTGGCAGCTGCCAGCCCCTGCCCCCCCTTTCCCCGAGCACACTCACTGCCTCCCCAGCAAGAACAGCCCAGAGTTTAGGTCGTGAAGCGGGGAGGCTTTATTGACAACGGAGAAGGCAGAATTCTGGGCAAGTACATGCAGCCCTGCTCCAAGAGTCCAGACTGGGGTCGAGCCCATCAGGACCAAGGGCTTCTTTGCCTCAAGGACCTCACTCACTCTCACCATCCTGAACTTTCCAACACCTCCTTTTCCAGCAACCCCAAAACACTCATCCCCAAGACCATCCTCTGGACAATGTAAGCAGCAGCCACCAGTGGAGAGCCAGGACCAGACTTGGGTCTGAGGCCCATCATTGTGGTGGACATGGGACCCCGCTCCCCAGCCTCTGGGGACAGAATGGGAGGGGGCAGCCACAGCAGCCCCAGTCCAGGGAGCTGCCCTCGCTGCAGGAGGCTGATGCTGGGGGCAAAGAGCAAGGGCATCTCCTCCCTGTGCCTGAGCAGGGCTCTGCAAAGCTGAACCTCTTCATGTCACTCTCCCGTGCTGCCTTCCCTCCCTGGCCTGAGCTTGCCCCGCGGACGCAGCCCTGTCAGCCTCGGCCTGTGCCCATCTGTGTAGGCTTCACAGCTCCAGCCCTCCAGCTGGAACCTGCTCTTACCCACTGCCCTCCCTGGCTGGCCAGGCCCAACCCTTAGCCCAGAGATTTTTCAGGGATCAAGCAGGGCTGGGGCCTGAGCACAGGCATTTCTTATGGTCACAGAAACAGGGCATTGGGCCTCCAACCTGGGGACTGTTCTTTCCCAACCACCTGCCCAGCTTGTGGACAGTCGATCATGGGGACCCGGGACTGGATGGGGACCCAGGTTTAGAGCCCAGCACCTCTCACAGCCTCCCTAGCCTTGGGTGAGGGGAGAGGGGCAAGCCAGTCCTGAGCTGGGGCTGGGAGGAGCAGGGACAAAAATAACCCGGTACAGGCTCCTGCTGAGGCCAGAAATAGCGTAGTGACAAGTGCCTTGTAACACCCCAGGCGAGCAGCAGGGGGAAGCTGAGCTGAGGAGAGCCAGCCTCACTACAGGCCCAGGCCTGGCTGAGGGGCCATCCACACTACATACCATACCACACTGCCCGTGTGCACACATGCATGTGGCAGACCCAAGGGACTACGGCTCAGGACAGAGAATCCGGAGAGATGCTAAACCTGGGCTTGGCCTTGGCCACCGCCATGCTGCGCTTGCGCAGGGGCCCTCGGGCTGAGGCAAGGGTCAGGGCGTCCAGCAGGCTGCGGTCCTCATCGAGCTGGCGGGCCGTGCAGAGTGGCGTGGGCACTTTAATGGTGTTGCCAAACTTGGAATAGTCCACGGAATAGCGTCCATCCTCCTCAGCCACAATGGGGACAAAGCGCTGGCCCCACAGGATCTCGTCGGCCAGGTAGGAGGTGCGGGCCTGGGTGGTGATGCCCGTGGTTTCCACCACGCCTTCCAGGATGACGATGATCTCGAGGTCCTGGTGGTGGTGCAGGTCGCCAGGCGCCAGGTCGTAGAGCGGGCTGTTGGCATCGATGACGTGGTAGATGATGAGGGGTGCCACCAGGAAGATGCTGTTGCCTCCCACGCCGTTCTCCATGGGGATGTCCACCTGGTGGAGGGGCACCACCTCGCCCTCAGGGCTGGTGGTCTTGCGCACCACCTGCATGTGGATGGTGGCACTGATGATCATGCTCTTGCGGAGGTCGCCCACCCGCAGCATGAAGCAGAGGCGGCCGTGGCGCAGGGCGATAACGGCATGCTTGCTGAAGATGAGGGTCTCGGCCCTCCGGTGGGCCTGGGCGGTCTTCATGAAGATGCAGCCCAGCATGATGGCGTTGATCATGAGCCCCACGATGTTCTGCACAATGAGCACCAGGATAGCCAGGGGGCACTCCTCGGTCACCATGCGCCCACCAAAACCGATGGTCACCTGGACCTCGATGGAGAAAAGGAAGGCAGATGAAAAGGAGTGGATGCTGGTGACACAGGGCTCCCCGGCGCCCTCAATGGGGGCCAGGTCGCCGTGGGCAAAGGCGATGAGCCACCAGGCCATGGCGAAGAGTAGCCAGCTGCAGAGGAAGGACATGGTGAAGATAAGCAGCGTGTGCGGCCACTTGAGGTCCACCAGCGTGGTGAACACGTCCTGCAGGAAGCGGCCCTGCTCCCGAATGTTCTTGTGGGCCACGTTGCAATTGCCTTTCTTGGACACAAAGCGGGCCCTCCGCTCTCGGGCACGGTACCTGGGCTCTGTGGGGTCCTCTGCCAGACGTGTCAGCACATACTCCTCAGGGATGATGCCCTTGCGGGACAGCATGGCTCCAGTGACCCCCAGAGAGGGGCTTCCCCCATGGAGGGGCACCCCCTGACCTGGCCTAGGGCCTCACTGTGGCGTCCCCTCCTTGGACATACTCCCACCCTGGGGCCACCCTCAGCCTGTGCCGGCCTCACTGCTGAGATGCTGAGCCTCTTTCTCTCCTACGCCTGGACTCTGCTTCACTTCCGTCAGCTTCACTTTTCACTCCACCTGCCCATTGTCCTCTGAGCCCCCAACCCCGCCTGCTCTCACCTGGTCCCCTCCCAGCTCTCCTCCACCAGCTGAGAACCCCTGGGCCCCGCTAAGACTCCCTCTCCCCACCCAGCCCTAACACCTCCGAACTTAACACCTCCGGATCTTTCCCACTCGCCAGACCTCATACAAGCCCCACCGCGTCTCCCGCCTCACCCATTTCGGTCCCCGGCTCCCCTCCAAGCTCCTCCTTCATGTCCTCGCCGCCCCCAGTCTCTTCTGCAGGTATGCCGCCTATTTCCTACCCCACCCGTCCCGTAGCGCCCCCGCCGCTCTTCGGATCCCTCTCCAGCGCTCGTCCTCTCTGTCTCCTTGGGCTCCTGCGCTCTCCGGAGTCACCACCCCACCCGGCTCAACTCCGGACCCCCTCGGCCCCCGCGCGACCCGGCCGGGCTCGCTCCAGGTCGCGGCCTCCCGGCTCCCCGCAGCCGCCCGCGCCCCCGCACCCCCGCCCCGCGCTCCGTCCCCGCCCCGCCCGCTTGTCGCCGCTGCACCTGCTCCTGCTCCTCAAGCCGCAGCCGTCGCCTCCCCGCCCCCTCCCGCCGCCCGGTGCTCGCGGTGCGCTGCGCTCGCGTTTCGTCGGTCCGTCTGCGGGTCCGCGGAGACCGACCTGTGCTGGGTGGGGGTAGAGGACCGCGGGTGGGGGGCGCCCGAGGAGCGGAGCGGGGGCCGAGGGCCGGAGGCCGCCAGGGGGAGCCAGACCTATTCCTGAGCGGGAGAGGGGGCGGGGACAGGCGCAAGCCCCGCCCCTCGCCTCGCCCTACTCCCCCCCCACCAACCCCCCACACCGCCTTCCTTCTCCGGACTCGCAAGTCTGGCCTTGGGAGTTTGTCAAATCTGATGGATCAAAAGAGGTTCCTTCTTCCCATGCCCTGTGAAATTGGGGTGCGGAAAGGGAGCTGTGACCCGCCTCTCCCCGCCCCCCCGTCTGGGGACCGCAGCCCCTGTCGCCCTGGCTCCCCTCCTCCAGTATTCCCATCCGTATTTGGGTCAATATCCACCTCTAGCGCAGCGCTGGGTTTTCCCGGTTCCGGGGGAAAGGCACCGAGGGGCAGCGCCACCAGTCCCAGGGCTGCGGGAAATTAGGTGGCCCGAGGACTTCTCAACTGACAGCTTCTTTCCTTTGCAGGATGCTCTTCGTCTTTTCTCAGTCCTGAATCATTTGAGAATCTGATGAAAGCTGGGACTCCCTCACATTAAAAAAAAAAAAAAAAAGTACCTCAGTCGGTGCAGGGGCACAGTTTAACACCTATTACAGGGATGCCGGATGCTGCAGCCCAGCACCCTGGGCGGTTCCATCTTCTCAGTCATGACCATCCCTACTTTATCTATTTATCTATTTATTTCAGAGACAAGGGCTGGCTGTCGCACAGGCTGGAGTGTAGTGGCATCATCACAGCTCACTGCAGCCTCGAATTCCTGGGCTCCAACGATCCTCCCGCCTTTGCTTCCTCAGTAGCTGGGACTACAGTTGCACCACCATGCCTGGCTAATTTATTTAAAAAAATTTTTAAGAGATGGGGTCTTGCTACGTTGCCGAGGCTGATCTTGAACTCCTGGGCTCATGTGATCCTCCCGCCTCAGCCTCCTAAAGTGCTGGGATTATGGGCATGAGCCACCGTACCTGGCTCATCACTACTTTAAAGAGGGTTTGAGTTGCTGGCACCTGCTTTACACTTCCTTATGCCCATAGCCTGATTTTTTCCACCTTAGGTGATGGGAGGTTTCTAGGTCTGAGTAGGTGTATTAGGGCTGGCTTCAGTACTGGGGGACCCAGGCTCTCGGCCCAGACATGGTGCAGGCATCAGCCTAAGGTTGCTGTGTGGCTTGTCCCCCCAGTTCTCAAGTGGCAGGAAAAGTCTGCTAAGTCTTTTTTGGAAGAGCAATGACTCCACCCTTCTCTGGAGCTCAGATCCTTATGAAGGAACCGCTGACCTGTGTGTGACCATTTTTTAGAGTGGGGCTTTGAGGCAGAGGCTGGAAAAGTAGGCAGCGTGGGGCTGTAGGCCAGAGAGCGCCGGGGCATGACTTTCATATTAGATTTTCTTTTCTCTTCCATACCCACCTGCAGGCTAAGTGAATACCACTACAAAGGGTGCATGTGATCTTGGGCTGTATTTATCGAGGTGCAGTGCCGAGGGTGGGAAGGGTAAAATACGATGAGCACAGTGGGGGGCAGGAGATAGGGTTACATGGGAAACCTCTGAGGCAGCTACAGCTGTTCAGCCATCAGAAAATGAGCCTTGGGGAGTCCCCCAGGGGCTTTGGGCACTATTGCAGAAACACCCGAGGTTGAAGGAGGATGGACTAGTAGTTTTGTGTGGCCCAAAGGACAGAACAGAGTGGAACAGAGGCAGGCTTTGATTTCACATATTCAAGAGTCAGTTCCCATAACAACGAGAGATGACCCACCAAGGCTGGTGGCCCATCAGGGACGCTATAGAGGGATTTAGGCCAAGATGGCCTTGGGCATCCCTGTGACACTTCGATGTGGGCCCTCCCCTACCCCCTGCTACTTCCTTTCAGTCCCTGGGGTGGGATGGCTTTGGGGTAGTGTTAGCCATGTGGACTCCTCTTTCTGCTGCTCCCTGTCTCTGCTCCTGGGAGACCACCAGTGGGGGGAGCTGCTGCCCCCCAACCCAGGGCATCTCAGAGCCGGAAGGCCAGGCCCTGACTCTAGGTGTGGCCCTGAGGCCTCAGCTGTTCCCTGCTCCACCCTTCCAGGGCAGTGAGTCCCACACCCAAAGGACTCAGTCCTCTGCTCTGCCCCATCCTGCACTTGCTCGTGCTCATCTCTCCAAACACTGCACTTGGCAGGTCCCTTCTTGCTCAAATGCCTTTTCCACTCCCCTTTTGTCCATAGGCTTATCTCACACTCCTTGTCCTGGCATTCGAGGCTCTTTGACTTGCTGCCCTCCCTGCTGCCCTCATCTCCCTCCCATCTCCCTGACCAGCCATCACTCCCTAGCTCCTGCTGCCCCACCCCCACTCCGCCCTTTTCTCTAACCCTCTGCCTATCCAACCCCTGCCACTCCCATGCCCAATTCAAATCCTGCCTTTCCCAGGCAGCCTGCCAGAGCTCACAGAGCCCTTACTTTCTGAGCTCCCTTGGCTCCTGGAACACCTAGGACCCCATTAGAGGGGTCTGTGCTGGGTCCCCCCCTCTAATGACTGGTGGCTTTTCCTTATGTTCTATATCTCTCAGCCCCTTGCAGCCACGAGGGATGCAGGCCCAACTCCTAGATCAACCTCCCAAGGCCTGGTACAGCCAGTGTTGCAGGTGCTTTATAAATAATAATAAAATGAGATGTAGGCCAGGCATGGTGGCTCATGCTTATAATCCCAGCACTTTGGGAGGCTGAGGCAGGAGGATAGCTTGAGCCCAGGAGTTTGAGACCAGCCTAGGCAACATAGTGACACCCTGTCTCTACAAAAAAAAAAAAGCGATGTACACGAGTACTTGCCTTTTCTTGGCTGAGTGCAGGTGTGCACTCTTGTTTTGTGATGCAGACAACATAAGGACAGTTGTTTTGGTCTCCCTGCTACCTGGGCCCCAGCATCTCGCAGCCACATCTGACTAATTTGTGGTACATGCCCTGTGCTTTCTCTCTGAAGAACCACCCTTCCCCCACTTCTGAATGCCCCTGTTTGGGGGATGGAGATGGGGACATGTGATCCAGGCCTAGCCAGTCAGTGTATTCTAGTTTTCTGACCATAGTGATTGGGTGGGGATGAAGATGTGACCCAAGTTTGTCCCTTGAGATTTATTCCCAAGATTTTTGTTGGAACTATTGGGAAAGAGCATCTTTTCTTCCTCTTGGGTTGCCCTGGAGTAGGATGTAAGCTGGAGCTCCTAGTGGCCATCTGTCATCTGGGAGGCAGAGGAAAATGGATTCCAGAAATGGAGACACATCCCTGATGTCAAACACCTGGATCCGGCCATGCCTGAAGCAGTACACCTCCTGGCCTTTTCAGTCACATACTGAAATAAATTCAAGTTTTTGTTTAAGCCACTGTGAGTTGGGTTCCTGTCATTTGCAATGAAAATAGTGCGAATCCAGGGTACCCAGGCTCCACAATTTTAATCCAGGAGTGAAAGTGAAAAGAAAGGAGACCAAGCTGTATGGAAATCTGTTACTTATCTGATGAAGTCACCACAGAAACTCTTGCTATGCACTGAATTGTGTCCCCTCAGATTCACAGGTTGAAGCCCTAACCCCCAATGTAACTGTATGTGGAGACAGAGACTGCGAGGAGATAAGGTTCAGTGAGGTCACAGGGATGGAGCCCTAATCCAATATGACTAGTGTCCTTATAAGAAGAGAGACAGACAGACAGATCCCAGGGATGCACGTGCACAAAGGAAGGGCCATGTGAGGACACAGCGAGAAAGTGGCTGTCTGCAAGACAAGGAGAGAGGCTTTAGGAGAAACCAATCTGCAGCACCTTGATCTTGGACTTCGGCCTCCAGAACCGTGAGAAATAAATTTCTGTTGTTAAAGCCACCCAGTCTGTGGTATTCTGTTGTGGTAGCCTGAGCTGACTAATACAGCCCCCTGTTCACAGATGAGGAAACACACTCTTGCCCACACTCACAGGTCTGCCTGATGCCAAAGGCAGGCTGGCTCTATAGCACACATTGTCCTCTGCCAGCCGCTGCCCCCAGACTCAGGGCCTCCCATAGGAAACAATCAATCTCTTTATTTACAAGTGATTTACAGTTAGAAAACCCAGGCAGGGAGTGGGGCAGGGTGGGCGTACGGGATGGCACTTGGGCTCTGGTGGGTTACTTGTCTGCACGGACGAAGGAGGCGAAGACGCTGTCCTTCTGGCTGAGCAGCGTGTCTGGCTTGTCGAACTCGAGGATGGCGCCGCGCTTAAGGACAATCACCAGGTCTGCACTCAGGATGGTGTGCACGCGATGCTGG